TATATCTGTTAAGAGTCATAAAAAAGAGGGCTAATTGGAGGGGGCGGGGGATTTCTTAGACTCCAGAGGCATACACCGAGACTCATAGGAGTTAGGGGTCACCAGGCAGCCCCTGTCTGATCCTGTCTTGTTTGTCTGTCTGTCTCTGTCGTTCATCTTAGCTTCTCTCTGCACATCTTCCTATTTTCCTCCCCTAGATCAGCTGTTTTGGCCACATGCCCCCTTTGCGTTCACCAGGGGGTCTTGACATGTGCCACCTCTGGCTCTGACTTACCCTGACTTCCAGTCGAGAACCTGTATGTGTTAGTTCAAAACTGTTGAGGAAGAGATGAGATTTACAGTTTGCTTTCCTCTGGCTCTAATCAGCTACAGGGATGGAGTTTCAGAGTTAAAATACGGTCACTAATGAGTCCTCCTTCAGAGGACTGTGCATTGGAGCATCACAAGGAGGGGTTGGCCGCCTTCTGGTAGCCTTAAAGCCAAAGATAATGAACCTGGAGCACCATGGGGAGGCTGCACTGTGCCAAAGTATGTTTCCTGCCTTCAAGAAAGTGCCTTTTCACTGGGAAGGCAGTGACAGATACATGCTTAACACACTGTGATAAATACCGTAAAGTGTTCCCTAAGTGGGAGAGAGGGGTTGACATTATTTTACACTGTGAATGGGGGAGGTTTGTCCGTGTTGGTGGGAACCCTAATGGGCTTGGGCATTTGAAGTGTGTTGTAAGAGATCTTAGGGAAGAGTGTGTTTGGAACACGGTGTTGTATTTATACAACAACTGCTCTGTGTAGCTGGTAATTTAGGAAGAGTTATAGGAATTGAAGACAGTTTACTTGTCTAGTGACTGACACAGGCCTGGATTTGCTTCTGCTTTATTTTAAGTATATATTAATATAGCTGTAGTTATCCAAAGGCTTTTTTTTTTAGTAATTAAGAAAATACTCATAGTTGGTTTTCCCATAAACATTTTAGAGAAGAAAGGGGCCATGAGAGTTGGAATTTGCTAATGTTTGTTGTATTATGTACGATACATATACTCGTATGTGGTGGAGAACACATGCAAATTAAATAGCTTACAGAACTCAAATATCTTTATTTCCTATGTTAAGATTTGAGGTGCCGCAAAGAAAATATTAAACATTGAGGTGATGCTTGTAATTAATTATTGGGAAAAGTCAGGAACTTATCTAGCCATGAAGACATTTCTGTGTCTAAATATTTTAATTTTTATTCTTGTCTAAGACTATGCTATTTTTTCAGCATAAAAATGCTTATTTGTCTCTGGACATATACTGGAGCTACTTAAAAACTTAGGCATAAGATTGGGAATTTTTGTCAAAACCTTAATGTTTCTTTTGTTTTTTGTTTTGTTGTTTGCTTTCTGAATTGGAGGTTGCTTGTGCATGGGGTAATCATTTTATCTGAGTCTTGCTGTACTTCAGAAAAAATTTTGTCACATTGATTATTGATGTTTTCCCCCCTTTCAATAAACCTCTTGAGTTTAAAATAGCACAATTGTATTATCTTGGGCAAATCCAAATTAATAACTCCTTACCTCTGAATAAAAGTGATGGAATCAGGTTGAAGTTACTGCTTCCATTTTAGTGGTTAGGGCGGTAGACCAACTATGCTTGGGCTTTATATGGCTCAAATTTTATAATCTCTGCGTTCATCTGCATACTCATTGTCAGCATTACAAGAGAGATGCTGAAGCACAGGAAAAAAGCACATATCTCTAGATTTTGTGTGGGAACTAGAAATAAATTCTGTGTTTGGCTGATCACTCTGTGAAGCTCCAGTAATCTTTAGGGAGAAACCTATCTTCACCGATTTTAATTTGTCAATTTGCAACTCTACTTGCTTGGAAATCGTCAACCTAATAAGTTACTGCTCTGTTTCACCAGATAGTATCATTAAGAATCCGGGGATGGTATGCAACCAACATGGAAAGAGATCCTTTCCTCCTCCTAATCAATTTGTACCCTACAATTTGTTGGTTTTAAATTGAACAGAAGGAAACGAGATGTGACTGCTTGCTACAGGGTTTATAGAAAACTGACAACTCCTGAGAAAATTCTCAGCAGGGTATAATATATCTGTGAAGTGGTAGCTAGAACCCCTTTAGAAAAATTCAGTAACTCACAATTTACTGCACATAAAGTCGTGTCCCTTAGGGCGAACTCTCTGGTGTCATGGAGTTGGTGACTCATGAGTGCTGTACCTTTGTGATATAATAAACAAGTGAAGGTGGTGGGATGATTATATTCCTATACAAAAAGAGCCACTTCACCTTTCATTATATAGAAAAAAGCCATGGGAATATTAAATTTTTTAGTGGCATTTTCAAGTACAGCGTTTTCTGTTACCTGAAATGCATGTATCGAGGTGTTAAGATACTTAAGAACAAAATAAAATAAGGGGGAGGTAGCTGTATTCATTTGGAGCTAGGTTACTGGCAGTGTTTTGAAGCTTAACTTTCTCAACACCCACCCCAGGATTCCAAAAGTATTTAGATACCCTTTTTTGTGTGTTCTAGCCTATGCATCTACCAATGAATTTATCCCACATGGCTATACTGATTGATGCCTTATTTTTTAATTTTTATTTTTTAAATATATTTTACTTTTTAGAGTAGTTTTAGGTTCACAGCAAAATTGAGAGGAAGGTGCAGAGATTTCTCGTAATTCCCTGCCCCCCACATGTACAGCTTCCCCCACCATCAACATACCCCCTCATAGTGGTACATTTGTTAAAATAGATGAACCTACATTGACCCATTGTTATCACCCAAACTCCATAGTTTACATGAGGGTTTTCTCTTGGTGTTGCATGTTCTTTGGGTTTGGACAAATGTATGATGACATGTATCCACCACTGTAGTGTCATACAGAATAGTTTCACTGCCCTAAAAGTCCTCTGTGCTCCATTTGCTTATCTCCCACTCCTCCACCCCCAATCCCTGGCAGCCACTGGTCTTTTTAATGTCTCTATAGATTTGCCTTTTCCAGAATGTCATAGAGTGGGATCCATACAGTATATAGCCTTTTTAGATTGGCTTCTTTCCCTTAGCAATATGCTTTTAAGTTTCCTCCTCCTCTTTTCGTGGCTTAATAGCTCATCTCTTTTAGCATGGCATTGAATAATATTCCGTTGTCTAGATGTACCCTGTAGTTTATTTATCCATTCTCTTCCTTATTTTTTAACTCATTTTTTCCTGGGGCCAGGACTGAGGTGATGTGAATGAGACACTCAGCAATCAAGATAAATAATATTTTAATGCAATATTTCAAGAAATCAAAACTAATGCAGAAAAATTCACAAGGAACAAATTATCAACATGTTAAATCAAGACAGGATCACACCGAGCCCTCTGAATGTCAATGACAATCATAAGCAGAATTTCCTGTATGGGTAACTCACACTAATGTGCTAAGGACATTGTCTTGCTCTGAAACCTGGTTCTCCCCCAGAGGCACTGCTTCTCCTGTAGGCATCTCAGGAAGAAGTTCTTCTCTCACAATCCTCACAGCATTGTGCCCCCAGAGGTGGGAGGTCCTCCTTCCTCCTCACTTTCACTTCCAGACCTCTCTCCTCTCTACAACACCTCCACCCCAGCTGTGAAGTACTAGCTCTCAGACTAGGTCACTGCTGTCCTCTGCCTGTTGGAGTCACCTGTAGACCCCTTTCCACCTCGATGGCATTCTCTCTCAATCTTTGAAGATTTTGGCTCCTGGCTTTCTGCCATCCGATATAACTGTTCTTTTCATGATTCTTAAGTGACTTTAATATTGATCTTGATGATCCTTCCAATGTTCCAGTTTCTCAGTTCCAGGATATTCGTTCATCCAGTGATCTTCATTATTCTTCATCAGCCATTTCTTCTGATGGTCATATCTTATTCCTTGCAACTACCAATAACTACAACTCTCCAAAGTGTGAATTTCAGTTCTCTGCCTCTCCAAGCACTATTTTTTACCACCTTACTTTGTCTGGTACCTCGACGCCAGAAATTCTTCAGCCCACTTCAGAGCACACGCTTCATAGATCCTATCACCTTTTAACTATGTATAAATCTTTTCACGTTCTCACTTTTGCCACTTCAGATTTCATGGCCCATCATTATATCCATTCCCTTACCTATGCCCTCAATTCCCTCTTTTCATTGTTGTTTATCGGACAAAACAGCAATCCCAGTGAAATGCAAGATTTATGCAAGGGAAAGCCCATTTTAGATACACATTTTTGTGTTTATATTTTTCTTTCAAGTCTCTATTTGTTATTAATAAATAGAAGTGGCTTGGTATTTCACAAAGATATTTTAGTTGATTGAGTTCACATTTCATTCCAAGTGCTCAGTAAACACCGTGATTTACTAAGAATGGTAATCAAAGGGCGGTAGGTAGGTGAGGGAGGAGAATTCATGAGTGCAGTTCTTTATCTAAATGACATCCTGAATAACTTCTTGGTAAGTTATTCAGATGTAAATTACTTTGAATAACGAGAAGGAATTTTATATATAAAGCTTGCTATGTGTCATATCCTGGATGTAAAATGTTTGTCTAATTAATGAAATATAGGGGGAGGTTGAATTTAAGTAAAAATAATATGGCCAGATGTATCTACTATAACATTTATTTAGGACTTTACAAGAATATCATCCCTACACTAGTTCATTTTGCATCGAAAATGACCGCATGCTTATGAGAATCTACCTTTTCCCCCTCTTGTTTTTATTTTATCGCCCCTGGAAAAATAATATTTAAAGTCTGAATGGGTACAATAGAATAAAAATCACATTGCTTAATGGTTTGAATGGAATGACTAGATACTTGTCACTTGCACGGAATTGTTTACACTGAATTTCTTGAACTTGGTCACAGTTGGAGGTTGATTCTTTGGGGATGTCAATACCTTATAAATACTGGTGGGGTTCATCAGGTACTTGTACATGCCAGCTCCTGCCTCAAGTGACAGTCGACTTTTTTGTGTGCTTTCCCAGGTCTACCCTGAGCTGCAGATCACCAATGTGGTGGAAGCCAACCAGCCAGTGACCATCCAGAACTGGTGTAAGCGGGGCCGCAAGCAGTGCAAGACTCATGCCCACATTGTGATTCCCTACCGCTGCCTAGGTGAGCCCACCAGCATGTAGCTGGCATTGACCAGCCTGGCCTTTGGGGATGAAAAAGAAAGATGCCCTCATTAGGTCAAATATGCACTTTTCCTTCAACATATTGCCACTCTGCCTTGTACCATGTTTTGGACTATTAAGGTGGTGTTCTGTGCTCTGACAGTACAGGAGCAGTATTTCTGAGGTCCCTGCCTCAGAATGAATTTACCCAGGATGTTTATAAAAATTACAGATTCCTGGGCCAATCTCAGGACTGTTGAATGAAAGTGACTGGTGGTGAGAATAAGTAAGATAAGGCTTGGGAATCCTTATCTTACCAAATTCCGTAGATGATTATCATGTACACTAATTGTCTAGCCTGGTGGAATTGGAGCCTTCTGTGTTTCTTCACACAGACTTAATAGAAGAAAGAACCTAATGTGAAGAAGCCCCAGCATTTTGCTAATTTCTTAGAAATTTAATAGGGCAACAACCAGCTCTCTTCCTATTTGGTAATTGTTGGGGAATTTGGAGTTGGGGAATTTTGGGTTTTCCTCTTCCTCCAGTTTGATCACTAATGTTTAATATGTTTCTCTCACCAACTTCAAATTTAACTTTTTATTTTTAAAACTGTGGTTTTATGTGGCTTTATGCTTTTTTCCTCTGGAAACTTTGTCATACTCCATATTTAATCTGACTTGGTGCTTAGTATCTTCCTACTTGATAACTTTTATGTAACCAGACATTGTGGAAATCAGCAGCCTTTGATCTTATAGTTTTCTTGCATCTCTCTGGAAACTTTGTCATACTCCATATTTAATCTGACTTGGTGCTTAGTATCTTCCTACTTGATACTTTTATGTAACCAGACATTGTGGAAATCAGCAGCCTTTGATCTTATAGTTTTCTTGCATCTAGATGTTTTCCTCAAGCTTATTCATCACTAGGAAGGTTGTAAGTAAGGACACAGAAATCTGTATATGGGGACTCTGGACAAATATTGATATACATACTGAGAACTTCTTGTAAAGGCTAAAAGGAATTTTTGAAAGAAAGTCCCAGCAGCAAATGTAGAAAGTAAGGATAACTACCCAAAATTCTGGAGATCTGTTTAATATTTTGTAAAAGAAAAGAATTTCATAAGAGCATACTGATTAGTGTCCATGCATGTGCATAATTTGAGACATAAATAGAAAACACTGGGCATTAGAACAGAGATTTCATCTGGTGGATTTACTACTCAAAATGTAATTGATGAACACAGTGTGGAAAAGCAGATTCTTAAAACATTTGATAACTCAAGAGTTTCCTTGTTCCACCTTATTCCTCCTTCCGAAATTCTTTACAAGGTCTCTAACTCTTCTCTTTCTGATTGGTCAAGAAGTGAGGATTAAGATGGAAATAAGTAGCATTTAAATACTAGATACAAAACTCTGACTTCAAGAAAATATAGAGGTCAGCTGTCTCCAGAAACTATGTATTTCAAACTAACTTGATTATTACCCCCAAAGATAATCCACAGAGAACATGCCATTTAGTACAGATAAGAAGCAGATCATGCATCAGTTAATTAGGTGGGCCAGACCTTGTTAATGATTTGTTTCTTTTGGTTCTCACTTGCCTATTCTATGAAATGTTTCAAATACATTTTCTTTAGGATATAAGCTCGATGAGAATAAGTAATAGGTCTTTGCATGAGTGTTATTGCATAGAACACCTGATAAGATGCACAAAACCATGGTTGTGTTTCAGAAGTGATTTTATGTTTAAAGGCCATTTTACTTAGATCTTCCTGCTTCATAATTCTATTCAGAATTGTTTACATTAGAATTGACCGAATGATGAAATCCACGTTGAAATTGAAATTTACTACCTAGTGCTACTAGTTGTGGCAAATATCCTTTGACTCTAAATTGTATCCTCTCTGCCACCCAGTCCCCCTGTTCCTGCTCCCTGAACCTCCCCATCTCTAAAAAGCTCTACTCCTTATGGCAAGAATGAATTGAAACTCCAAGTGGAAAAACATTGCAGCAAGGAGTAAAAGATGTATAAAATGTCCTCAGATCCAAATACGAAGTCAGCAGTTTTTTATCATAATATTATGATTATACAGAGACTGTGAAAATACTTGTTTTTATTGTGATAAATTGCATTATGCACCATTTAGGGAAGCTACAGCTTAAGGAATGTTGTTTTTACTGTTTAATCTCGTCTAGCAAATACCTTGTTTTGATAGTAAAGTTAATGACCTGTCCTCACCTTATATTTTTAACCATTATGGAAAGAGAACCACTTCAAAATGTATCATTGCACTGACGAATACTTACAGCGCCCTGACACAGAGAGGAGAGATGGGCAAGGAGAAATGGATAGAAGCCCATAAAATGATTCTTTCTCTGAAAGGCCATGTGAAAGGGTGGGAAGGAGTTGATTCCTGCCAAGGCTTTGCCATCAGCAAGTACCAGATTTTTCTTTCATCCTTTGAACAGATTCTTGGCTCCTTTGATGTGGACGTGTGTAATTCAGGAAGATGGGTCACTTGTAACATGTTTAACAAATTTCCTAGTTCTAGTTTGTATCTGACAGGAAAGGAGCATGTTGACACTAACTGTTCTTGTCTCTGAATGGGACTAGATTATCATTAAAATTTCCCGTAAGTACTTTGCTTGCTTGAGTCTTTTATCGTATTTTCTTATTTTATGAGTTCCCAGTCTTTTTCCTAATGTGATAAGTAGCGCATACATTGTCTCCTACTTTGCTATCGAGCTTAGATTAGAATTAAGGAATGTAGGTATTGCTTGGTTTTTAGGTAGTGACAAATTTTGCAAAAGTCTCAAACAAAAAATATTGTATAGGGTGTACAAAATAATGCCAATGAGTATGTCTTTTAATTCAGGAAAATGGTGTGTCTTATAATTCAGGAAAAAGGAATTAAAAAACATGGTTGTACATATAACTCATGTACATTTTATTTTTACTAATAATGCATAGTCCCAATAAGTTTAACATTGTTTTTTCCTACTTTCTTCCTTTTCTTTTCCCTGTCCCTTTTGTTTCTTTCTTTTTTCCTCCCTTCTCTGTCTTCCTTTTCCCCTCAGTTTCTTAATCTCTTATCCATAGCAATATCCAGCCCTTTGTAATTGCCGAGGATGCATTGAAATATTTCCTCTGTGAGGCGCAGGCAGTTTTGGTTCTATTAACCTCATTTCACAGGCACGTATTTGGAGAGACTGTATCTCTTGCTGTAACCCACACAGCTAATAAGTGGTAGAATCAGGTCAAGAGTCTTGATTCTCAATCCAGTATTCCTTAGAGTATATAAAAATTTGTGTTAGAGCAATATCCACCTGACTTACAAAATCAAATCATAGAGGAAAGGCTGTGAATTAGAAGCAAAAAATAACACTTTCTTTCAAAACTCAAAACAGATGTGTTGATAACACAGACAACTGTGACCCTGGTACAGGATAAATCCCCATGTGATAATGTTTACTCTGCTTTATAGTAATAATAGGTCACGTTCTTACATATTATTTGCTGCTTGAACAAAAAATTAACTACTTAGCATTAACATAAGTACTCTCTAAAATCTGACTGTGTCCAAATGTATCCTTTAGCCGAAAGAGATTATTTTTACTGAAGTTAATTCTCATGAAGACACTACCTGGAAAACAAAGTGAGATTGCCTTAAACATTAAGCAAACTAAAATTCAAAGCAAAGCTTGAAGAGGGAAAAGTGCTGGTTATGTCTGGCATGCAACCTTCCTAACCTCTCTATCAGATGAAGGATCCAGTGTTGCACTGGGTTATTTTTCTCTAAACCATGTGTCTGCCTTGGACATACTTTCTGGGTAGTACCTGGCATTCCTTGTCTAGGTTGGGAAAGTGTGTCACGTTGCTGTTGCCACTAGTTCTTCCCGTGGAGTGGATAATTTGTCTTGAGAGTGAGTTGGCTTTCTCATTTCACTCTTTGCTTTTGATAGTACTTCTGGAACCAGAGGGTAAGATCTGTCTTACACTTAATCATATGAACATTTAATTAATTACGCACACGGGATTCAAACACATCATTATCACTCAGGGAAAATATTTTCTTTGCAACTGCTTTCCAAGTCTCCATGGTTGTATAGATCCACCCTTGAAACTGGCACTCCTCTGCGCTTGTCTCTGATCAGCAAAGGCAAGGTACATTGCATAAGATAAATTGCTGTTGACTTATGGGGCAAAGTCAGGTTAATAGCTTAATCCAAAAGAAGAATTAGAAGTCAAAGAACTCCATCCTAAAATGTTGTTCTGTTTCATTTTATAATCAAGACTTTTCAAACATGTAAGTAGTAACGATCAGGAATCTATTCAGATATGGTTAGATGAGAAATTAAAGGTATTTAATTCATCTTGATTTTGGATTCTGTTATTTTAATAAAATTTAGGAAAAGCATGCCTTGCTTTCTAGGAGGCTGCCTGTTTGTGAATTATCTATGGCTATCTTAATCTTCTTTAGTATGAAAAGGATAAACTTGGATCTCTGCCAGATATTGTGCCAGGGTGGTTCTTTGGATTTATGCAAAACAACAATTCTCTTGAGACACATCAGACAACAGAACAATATTCAAGAATGGGGGGAGAGGATAGAAGAACATTTTTACTGTAGACTTTGGGTTCTTGTAAATGCCCCCCAGCACAGTAATCCAGTGGATAGAGAGTTGGTGCCCATGGATCCTCTAGCACCCACCAGCCTGTGCCCTGTAGATCTGCCAGTTATGAAGTCCTGGGAGAGGCATGTGCTGGGGCTGCACATGCACTATTGTGAGAACAATACTTAATGAGCCTAGCCTCCACACACAAGAAGTGTGCAAATTCTTGAATTGCCTACATCATGATCTCACAAGGAATGGCCAGAATGCCTGGGATTTTCTTCATCAGGGAAAGCTGATCAGCCATCCTTGGAGAGACAGCAGACTCCTTTTTATGTGGTCTTCCCCATGGGAACTTTGAATGCTCCAAATTAATCATGCTCGAAAA